GCCCACTTGAAGAAACTGGAGAATACTTATACTAGAGAATTAACAGCACAGCTGAAAGCTCTAGGACACAAAGTAGCAAACTCCCCCAGGAGGAGTAGATGCCAGGAAATAATCAAATTGAGGGCTGAAATCAATAAAGTAGAAAGTAGGAAAACAATACAAAGAATCAATGCAACAAAGAGTTGGTTCTTTGAGAATATCAACAAGATAGACAAACTTTTATCCAAACCTACCAAACAGCAGACAGTGAACATGCAAATTAACAAAATCAGAAATGAAAAGGGGGACATAACAACGGACTCTGAGGAAATTCAGAGAATCATCATGTCATACTTTGAAAACCTCTACTCCACAAAATTCGAAAATTTAAAAGAAATGGACGACTTCCTGGATAGCTATTACTTTCCAAAATTAAATCAAGAACAGATAAGCAATTTAAATAGACCTATAACCCCTATGGAAATAGAAGCAAAAGTCTCCCAACCTAAATAAGCCCAGGTCCAGGTGGCCTCAGTGCCGAAATCTACCAGAAATTCAAAGAACAGATTATACCAATTCTTCTCAAAGTATTCCATGCAATAGAAGCAGAAGGGTCTTTGCCAAACTCTTTTTATAAGGCTTCAATAACCTTGATCCCCAAGCCACACAAATACACAACTAAGAAAGAGAACTTCAGACCAATATCCATCATGAACATTGATGCAAAAATACTCAATAAAATACTGGCAAACCAGATCTAAGAACACATCAAACAATCATTCACAATGATCAAGTAGGTTTCATCCCAGGGATGCAGGGATGGTTCAACATACGAAAATCCATCAATGTAATCCACCATATAAACAAGCTGAAAAACGAAAATCACATGATCATCTCACTAGCTGCTGAAAAAGCCTTTGACAAAATCCAACACCCCTTCATGATAAAGGTTTTGGAGAGATCTGGGATAACAGGAACATACTTAAACATAATAAAAGCTATATAGAGTAAACCAACAGCCAAATCAAAATAAATGGACAGAAACTCAATGCAAATCCTCTAAAATCAGGAACAAGACAAGGCTGTCCACTCTCTCCATACCTTTTCAACATGGTACTTGAAGTTCTACCCATTGCCATAGGACAACAAAAGGGGAACAAGGGGATACAAAATGGGAAGGAAGAGGTCAAACTTTCACTGTTTGCAGATGATATGATAGTTTACATAAATGACCCAAAGAACTTTGCCAGGGAAGCCTTACAGCTGATTAACACCTTCAGCAAAGTGGCAGGCTACAAGATCAACTCAAGAAAATCAGTAGCCCTAGTATATACAGATGATAAAAGGGCTCAGAAAGAAATCAGAGAAACATCACCCTTTACAATTGCCACAAACAACATAAAATATCTGGGGTTACCAAACAAGTGAAAGACCTGTAAAACAAGAACTTTGACTCTTTATAGAAAGAAATTAAAGATGTCCTCAGAAAATGGAAAGATCTCCCATGCTCTTGGATAAGTAGGATCAATGTAGTAAAAATGGTAATCCTGCCAAAAGCAATCTACAGATTCAATGCAATCCCCATTAAAATCCCAGCACAATTCTTCACAGACCTTGAAAGAACAATAATCAATTTTGTATGGAAAAACAAAAGACCCAGGATAGCCAAAACAGCCCTGTTCCACAAGGCAACATCCGGAGGCATCACCATCCCTGACTTCAAGCTCTATTATAGAGCTATAGTCCTGAAGATTGCTTGGTATTGGCACAAAAATAGACAGGTAGACCAATGGAATCGAATTGAAAACCCTGATATTAACCCACACACTTATGAACATCTGATCTTTGACAAAGAAGCTAAAAATATACAATGGAATAAAGAAAGAATCTTCAACAAAAGATGGTGCTGGCATAGCTGGAGGCTGGCATGTAGAAGAATGTGGATCGATCCATGTTTATCGCCATGCACAAAACTTAAGTCCAAATGGATCAAAGACCTCAACATAAATCCAGCCACACTGAACCTCTTAGAAGAGAAAGTGGGTGGTACCCTTGAACGAATTGGTACAGGAGAGAGCTTCCTGTACATAACACCAGTAGCACAGACAGTGAGATCAACAATTAATAAATGGGACCTCCTGAATCTAAGAAGCATTTGTAAGGCAAAGGACATAGTCAGCAAGACAAAAAGACAGCCCACAGAATGGGAAACAATATTCACTAACCCCACATCTGACAGAGGGTTGACCTCCAAAATTTACAAAGAACTCAAGAAGCAAGTCTCCAAAACACCAAAGGATCCAATTTAAAAGTGTGCTACAGAACTAAATAGAGAATTTTCAATAGAGGAGTCTAAAATGGCTGAGAGGCACTTGAGAAAGTGCTCAACATCCTTAGCCATCCGGGAAATTCAAATCAAAACAACTCTGAGATACCATCTCACTCCTGTCAGAATGGCTAAAATCAAAAACACCAATGACAATTTATGCTGGAGAGGATGTGGTGAAAGGGGAACACTCCACCATTGCTGGTGGGAGTGCCAAGTTGTTCAGCCACTTTGGAAATCAATATGGAGATTCCTCAGAAAAATGAGAATAAACCTACCACAAGACCCAGCAACTCCACTCTTAGGCATATATCCAAAAGATGCCCATTCATACAACAAGAATGTCTGCTCCACTATGTTCATAGCAGCATTATTTGAAATAGCCAGAACTTGGAAGCAACCTAGATGCCCCTCAACCGAACAGTGGATAGAGAAAAGGTGGTATATCTACACAATGGAGTACTATTCAGCAGAAAAAAACAATGGAATCTTGAGATTTGCTGGCAAATGGATAACATTAGAAGAAACCATCCTGAGCGAGGTAAAGCAGTCACAAAAAGAGAAACATGGCATGTACTCTCTCATATATGGATTTTAGACATATATCTGGGGAGTGCCAGCCTACAATCCCATGGCCAGAGAGTCTGTGAAACAGAACCTTCATTCAGTGACTGATGGAAGCAGACGCAGACTCCCTTGGTTAAGTACTGAGCTGAACTCAAGAAAGCCAGTAACAGAGAGGGAGGACTGATGACCAAAGGGATTAAGACTGGGCTGGTTTAACCCCCAGAAACAGCTCACCTGACAAGATCCCCTAACTGGGGGTGTCAGTGAGGAGGCCTAGGTAATCTATGGAGCCTTGGGCAGAAGATCAGTATTCATCCGGAGTACACACTTGGACTTTGGACTCCCATAGAACAATGTGAGATGCACTCTCACCCTGAACTCTTGTGGGAGGGTCTGGGCCCTACCCTGGATGAAATGACAGACTGTGGACACCTCCATGGAGGGCCTCACCCTCCCTGGGGAAATGAGGGGATATTGGGGGGGTTGGGGGGAGGGCACAGGAGGAGGGGAGGCAAATGGAACTGACTTGTGAAACAACGTTGTTTCTAATCTAAATTTAAACTTAAAAATAAATAATAAAAAATAAAAAATGATATTCTAAAAAAAAGAAAAAAGTTTTCTATGTATGTATTTGTTAGTCGTTTTCTTTCTTATTAATTATTTTTATTTAAATTATAAACAATCTTATTTTACATACCAATCCCAGTTCCCTCTCTATCCTGTCCTCCCACTTCCTCCACCATCTGCCCATCCCCATCTCCATCCACTCCTCAGAGAGGGTGAGACCTCCCATGAGGGATCATCAAAATCTGTCACATCATTTGGGGCAGGGCCAAGGCTCTCCCCCCTGTATCTGGACTGAGAGAGTATCCCTTCATAGGGAATGGGCTCCAAGAAAACAGTTCATAAACTACGGATAAATACAGGTTCCAACATGTTAGTCATATGCATTGACTGTCTTCTCTGATATACTATAAGTTCTAAGGAAGCAACGTAATTCATTTAGCTGACAATTACATATCTAGTACATAGGTTCTTAACAGATGATATTACTGCTTGGTTTTCAATACCCACACACTTATTTATAACATACTGGTAACTGGTATGGGAAAGCTTGGTATTGTGGATAATTGCATGTTAATTCCCCATGTCATGCAATACTACACAACACAATGTTATTTGACTTGTGTTGTTAAAGAAAACTACTTAAAGGCTAATGTAAATCTATAGCTAAGAACGTGGGCCTAATGATAGCACTGAAACTGGTAATCTCATTCCATGCCAATCAACAGAGTGAATTATTACTATTACACCTGCAATTTGCCATGAAAATGCAAATAGTAGAACGATTTTGATAGCAAAGCTACAAAGTGTATGCCCAAATTAAATTCTTTGGTTCTTCTCAAAGTTTTCCTTCCCCACTGTATGTTTAATAAAATCACTCAGGCCAAAAAAATCATTCATTATCCAGAAAGTTTCAAAAGAGCTTTCTTTGTGTGGAACAAGGAAAAAAATTAATTAAATGATGATGATGATGTAAATTCTGCCTGAGGTGCTGTTTTCTCTTTGCTATAAGATATTTACAAGAAGATTAAAGATTACTTTTGGGATTTTCAGTGAAGAAAATGCAGAAGCCGTGTCAGCTTTTGCCACTGAAGCCACTATAATTGGAAAACATAACTAATGAGAACCATGCCTATACTTTGATTCAGTGTTGTTTGCAGATTATTGATGCAGCCCTGTCTAGTACAAGTAGGTGCAAGTGCTGTATTGTACTATCTTCGAGTGTGATTTCATCAATGACTGGATTCTTAAGAAGTCATGTCAGGCCAGGTGGTCAGTCCATGCCTTTAATCCCAGCACTCTTGAGGTAGAGGAAGGGAGGATCTCTGAGTTCAAGGCCAGCCTGATCTTCCTAGAGAGTTCCAGAACAGCCAGGGTTACACAGAGAAACCTTATCTATCAACCTCCCAAGCCCAGGCAAAAGTCAGGTCAACATGGATGGGTGCCTGCAAAACAGGCTTTGTACCAAAACACAAAATAAAGATGATTGGTTTTGTTTCTGTTTATTTTTATTTTGTATTCATGAATACTTTCCTGCATGCATGTATGTATAGCATGTGGGTACCTTGTGTCCACAAGGACTAGAAAAGGGCGTCAGATCTTCTGGACCTGGAGTTACAGACATGAGCCACCATGAGGATAATAGGACCAGATCCTGGATCCTCTGCAAGAAAAGCAAGTGCCTTTATCTGCTTATAAGAGGCCTTACCATCTGCAAGAAAAACAAGCCCCAAGAAGATTGTTTTATCATTAGTGAATTTAGCATAGAAAACCTCTGATGACTTTAACTGATTACAAATGAACACTGCTCAATATAAATACAAAAAAAAAAACAGTACCAGAATACTACTACTCATTTGCTTTAGAGAGGCCTGCTCCAAAATTACATTTTAAATTAAATTAAATTTAAATTTAAACCCACTATCATCCATGGGCAAAGAGACAGGACAATCACATTTCTATAAATCTAATCACAAAAGAAAGCATAGAGCACAGGATAGAGACATAGACTAGCACTTATAGAAAGGATGCTTCAGAATCACAGAGTCCATTAAAACTCAAAGCACAGCGTAAACTGTGCAAAGTCTTGTATTCCAGCTTAGGGGGCATTGGCACAGAGTTTCACTAATTTTCACGGATACTTTGGAATGATAACTAAAAGTGAGCATAAAAGATCCAGCATTTCAGGACACACATGGACAATAACGTAGTAGTAAGATTTGAGTTTCCCTCTACTGAGATACAACCAGGAATAAAATACTTTAGCTCAGGAAACATAGACAAGGCATGAAACTGTGTAGAAACTACTGAGTATTTTTTTAGGCAGTAGCTTAGGCATTATAAAACTCTGGTCTCTTTAGGAACCTACTGCTTTAAATGCTCAGATGGGAAATGCAGCAGTATGATGCCATTATATATAATGTGTCGTGTAGACATGATTATGCACATACAGATTTTCAAATGGCAGATTTTAAATAAAATTGGATAAGGTTATATGTTTTTGTAAATGGTTTTAAATTACCTATAATTCTATAAGATAATTCTTTGATTTAGCTTTCTTTTCCTTCAAATATTACCTTACTTTCACATTTAAAGAAGAAATAAAGATTTTTAAACTATCTGCAACCATACAGATGAAGTTCCAAATGCAGAAAGTATTTATGTTACACATACTCACTCTAATTTCTTTTTCCCCACTATAATTTCTAATAGAGGGAAATTCAGCAATTGTTAAGACAATATAACAAAGCTGATTTAATCTTAGCAGTGTTTTGTTAATTCTATTTCAGGTCACATCTCTGTATTTCATTAACATTCCAGTAATACTGATGAATTTGTATGTAATAAATACTACTCTGAGGTTTTGAATTATGATTATGGTGCATTCTCATGCATCTCTTATTTACAAAACTGTATAATGGTGTTAAAATTGGAACACCACTGGTTAATAACTGGTCTGAAGTCATTTACTGGATGAATGTATTTGGGAGTAGATTCAAAACTATTTTCTAATCAATCAAAGCTACATCTGCAATATGAAATGAAGAATGAAAATAGTTTTCTAAACAATTAAACAAAATTTAACACAGGGTATGGTTTTTGATTGCTTATTTATTTTGTTCGGCTGTCATTGTTCAGTTAGCTATGTTTATGCTAAAATTACTTCAACCTGAATTTCACCAAAGGTATTAATCACCATTCATCCCTCTGCATAAAATATGCATTCTCTGTATTCACACTCAATTATACTTCCTTGAAGAATAGGACAAGCTACAGATATAACCCTAAAAGTTTTTCTGGTGGGGTAGAGAATGTATGAGGATGTGTGGCTAATGTGTTTGTGTTCACCAATGTGAGGTTTGTACATGTGTCCAGGGGTCAGATACTAATATCAGATGTCTTCCTTTCTTGCTCTCCACTTTTATTTCTTGAGATAACATTCTTCACATAACTTGAAGTCACCAGTTAGGAAAAACAATTTGGCCAGTGAGCTCTTGGCCTCTACCTCCAAAGCATAAGAAACCCATTGCAGCTGAATTTTTTTTAACTAGGGATATGCATTCAGGACTTCATGCTGGAACAACAAGGATTATACCTAGAGAGATATTCCCCACCACAACTCCAGTATTTGGTGAAATCTATTATGCATAATTTATATTTCAATGTCAAGGAAAAATGTACACAATATCGCATTATCTTAGCAAGTTCAATTCACAGGAAGTTATTGAAGCCCCATCACTAAAACACACACAGTTGTGGATGTTGTAACCAGAAAAAGCCTCAAAGCACTTGTCATTGAGTTCTAGAAATAAGTATTAAGACTTAAAGCCAAGTTGAGAACCAGTGGATACAACGAAAATCCAAGGCTGAGAAATTCACTTTCTTACTTATTTCTCCTCGATGAAATCCCACTTATGCTCTGCTTACGTCCTCAACACCATGCCTCTAGTCCAGACTGGAGAAACTGCAGCCCCCTCTAACTGTCAATAATCATATACTACCCCCCAGGCTGAAATTCTTACATTTCTATTAGACAATTGTTGCTCATTTCTTTTTACTTTCTATGATGCCCTATTTTGTTACATGTCACAACAAGTAACTAACATACAGAAAATCCCGAAAGATAAATGTGCAACTTAAGCAAGGGTAAAAATAACTGTCTTTGGGGTTTCCACCAATGTCAGACATCCAGAAGCTCTTGAGATTGTTGTGTTCATCTCCCCAGGGCTTACTATGCTGCTAACAACTGGGAAATTGTTTGTGCTTGCCTTCCTTAACCTTCGGCACTATCTAATTGTGGACCTCACAAACAATGTAGTTTGTTTTCTGTATTTGAAACGTATCTAAATAGAAACATAGAGGGCTTTTATTTGTTTGCTTTTATCTGTTTTCTCTCAATCTGCATTCAAAAGACTTGTTTGTTGATTTGAAGATATCTTCCTATCAGGGATTCTGGCATTTTTAGGATGAATAGTAAAGAATTTATTTATTCTAATGTCGATACACATTTGGGTATTTCTAGTTTGGGACTGTAATGAACAGTCATTCTATACTCTGATCCAATACCCCCAGTGTTTACATGCACTATGAGGAGCAGAATTGTTACAAGTCATAACTACAAGTATTTACCATCTTCCAAATGGTACCAACCTTTCTTGGGTAGCTTTTGTCCTTCCCTATCTCAACCATCAGTTCATGGGTGCTGTTTTTGATGCACATCTTTAGCAATATTTGATGCTTTCAAAATTAATATTATACACCAAACTCAATGATACTTTTAGGGATTTTTGTCTCATTTTGCTTTTTTCAGGCAGTTTTTATCTTATTAGCCTTTTGTTTGGATTAACACATAAGGTTCCTTTCCAATTTGCCATGTGTGGAGTGGGGCAGGAAGGAGGAAGGGGAGGGATTTGTGGTTATTTAATTTTTTCTTGTGTTTATTTGTTTTTATTAAGACCACCTTCTCTTTTTTTTACTTAAAAATATTTTTCATTTTACATATCAACCCCAGTTCCCATCCTAGTTACACAGGGGAGTGCCTAGGTCCTGTCCCAAATGGTGTGACAGACTTTGATAATCCCCTGTGGGAGGCCTCACCCTCCCTGAGGAGTGGATGGGGAGTGAGATGGGGAGATGGTGGGGGAATGGGAGAAAGGAGGGAGAGAAAACTGGGATTGATATGTAAAATAAGATTGTTCTTAATTTAAATCAAAATTAATTTAAGAATGTATTGTAAAATTTCTTTCAATTAAAAAGAAAAAAAGATTAAGAGTTTATACTAAGTTTCTGGTTGTGAAAAGACATTAAGTTTTGTGTAGCTGTTTTCACTTTATGTGTTTATAATTGCTTTCCAAATAAGTGCACATTTATCTCCTTCTCTTGTTATATTTAAGTGACAATGATAAAATGTATTCTTCTATATTTTTGCTATTAAGGATGTGTTCTTTGTTTCAATATTTAATATAATTCTAAGATTTCAGGAAAGACAAATATTATTACATAGTCTCATTTTCCTAGCTTGTGGATTTTAGAGTATAACCAAATATTGAGTTGTATCCAATGCTTCTTCTATATCTAGTGAAATAATCACATGACTTACACTCTTTGTTAGACTTGTGATAAGCTAAACAATTCACATGTCCTAAATCATCATTGGATCTTGAAGTAGTGTATAGTTGTGAACCATCATTGTCTTTGTTCTGTGCATAGTTTTGAATTCCTGGTGTTAGAACCCTAATGTCCATGCTCAAAACAGATCATGCTGAGGTTTGTCTACCTTGTAAAACTTCCTAGATTTTGCAACTCAGCTTAGGCTTTCTTCAAAATTTTAGACGAGAAATTCAAATCATTTCTTATGCAGGAAGCACTTATGTTAGACATGGACATTTTATTTCCTCCCTAAAAGATTTGGTTGATTTGCATGTAAATGTTTGGGACCTCTGCATGTGAAATGGAGACTGTTCATATATGTTGTTAAGATTTTTTTTAAATCTATAGTCATATTTACTTAAGTGTCAGGGTGACTTTGCTCCTTCTTGAATTATGTCCATTTATTCCAAATGTTAGTATTTATTACTGTTAAGTTTTCCATACTGTCATTATGTTTTCTTTGGTCTCTTTCTCCTGTCTCTGTCTCTATCTCTCTAGTTATGTGTGTGTGTGTGTGTGTCATACATATGTACATATGCCTATGTGTGTACATCTGTGTGTTTGTGTGTGTCATGTGCATATACTTAGTCCCATATATGTATGTCTTTGTATTTGTGTGTGTCATGTGTATGTACATATGTATATATGTATATGTATTTGAATGTGTGTGTCAAGTAGAGTACATGCACATATATATGTATGTATATATCTCTGTATTGGTTTGTGTGTGTCATGTGTATGCTCAAATGCTTATGTGTGCATGTCTGTGTATTTGTATGTGTGTATATAAACTGGAACTTAGAGCATCAAGCATGATAGTACTAAATTGCATTCCATCCATAACTGAAATATCTTTAATATTCCTAACAATCTCCCACTTTTCAAATCTGCATTATATGACTAAATTATGTGGAGCTTATAAACTCTTTTCCTTACAGCCCTTCCTTCCATTTACCATCAATATACCTTTTTTTGCTATCAGTTTCTTAATTCAGATTTAGATGCATGTAGTCCACACTTCAGGTATTTAATAATTTTTGTTTGGATTGAATATTGTATCTA